AGAGAGCTAGGTAGGGCTGGGTGGATGGAGATAGCTAGGTAGGGCTGGGTGGATAGAGAGAGCTAGGTAGGGCTGGGTGGATGGAGATAGCTAGGTAGGGCTGGGTGGATGGAAATAGCTAGGTAGGGTTGGGTGGATAGAGAGAGCTAGGTAGGGCTGGGTGGATGGAGATAGCTAGGTAGGGTTGGGTGGATGGAGATAGCTAGGTAGGGTTGGGTGGATAGAGAGAGCTAGGTATGGCTGGGTGGGTGGATGGAGATAGCTAGGTAGGGCTGGGTGGATGGAGATAGCTAGGTAGGGCTGGGTGGATGGAGATAGCTAGGTAGGGCTGGGTGGATGGAGATAGCTAGGTATGGCTGGGTGGATGGAGATAGCTAGGTAGGGCTTGGAGGATGGAGATAGCTGGGTATGGCTGGGTGGATGGAGATAGCTAGGTAGGGCTGGGTGGATGGAGATAGCTTGGTATGGCTGGGTGGATGAAGATAGCTGGGTAGGGCTGGGTGGATGGAGATAGCTAGGTACGGCTGGGTGGATGGAGATAGCTAGGTAGGGTTGGGTGGATGGAGATAGCTGGGTATGGCTGGGTGGATGGAGATAGCTAGGTAGGGTTGGGTGGATGGTAAGAGCTAGGTAGGGATGGTTGGGTGTAGACAACAAGATAGGGCTGGGTTATTAGAGCCATGCTATTTAGATAGAAGCACATGTTGGGAAGATTCTTACCTTGACAATTTTGTTCATCACTGTTATCTCCACAGTCATCCATCCCATCACACTTCCATGACAGGTAAATGCAGTTATTGTTCTTACATTTGAACTCAAAAGAACTATTACATTCTCTTTGCTCTGTAGATTAAATATTAAAATGTTAATATTATCTGACATTGCCATGTCAGCATGATTTGTCAAAAAAAGGTCACATACAATGAAAGAAAACAGCCTAGCTACTCAGAGTGACTATTTATAAATGCACAAACAGTTAGTTTAATAATGGTCAAACAATTTTCAAACATGAATTTTTACTAAATTATTCTTTGTGACTGGATGTTCGAAATTCTAAAAAAAAAACTTGAAGATACCTTATTAAGTTTAACACTAAAGGGGGCACTTCCAGTTAAGCCTAATCTCACAACAAATTTACTTTCTGGATTAAAATTACAATGGATAACAAAGATAGATTAACTTTGTAAATAACATAAACAATAATGTCCCATGATTCTTTGATGCAATCCCTGGGCTTGGAAGGTTCCCATTTAAGAATGTCAATTTTGAGCTTTTTGGTTATTTTTTAAACCAATATGGTCGTCAAAGTAGGGTTTCCCACTCTCTGCTATTATATTGTTTCCATGGAACCAAACTTGGGTATCCACAGATTTTGATTTGCTTATTGTCGTTGAAATCTTCCACTCAGCAAAATGAAATATTAGGTGGTTTTGAAATTTTGTAATAGTGCTAAAGCGGTTTAAAACATTGGATTTTCGCACTTTATGGTAGAATCAGAGTACTCTGAATATTGGATTTTCCAATCACTGCAAAATCTTGCATAACGCACAAAATGTGCAGGTTGAATATCCGACACTGAAACTTCTAGTTTGTTAGGTCTCACACACTGTTTTGACCACAACACTTGGAGTTTTGTTCGTAATGTTTGATGTTACGTCAAACTGAAAATTGGTCTAATGATAATACAGTGCAGGTGTAAACTTACGACAAGAATCTGGTTCGTCAGAGTTATCCCCGCAATCATCATAGCCATCACAGCGCCAATTGGATGGAATACACAAACCATTATCACAAGTCATCTGATTTTTATTGCATGTACCAGGCTCAGTAGAATCGGCTATAAGAGAAGGTAATATTATATGGGAACTTAAGAAAAGAACAACTGGAACGATATACAACTGATGACACTGTCCCCATTAGTTATCAAATTTAAGATATAGTTTTGTTCATAGTAATATAGTTGGAACATAAACATGTCAGAGATATATTTCAGAAGCTGATGCTTGATTATGATGATTTTTTAACATTAAAAATGGCTGACATTCAGCCATCTTGTATCTGATCAACAAACAAGTCCATATCGAGAGATATTGCTCTGGAACAGTAATAATTAAAACAAAATGGCCACCAGTCAGCCCTTTTGAATACATCTGTATATCTATGACATGATGTATAATGAATATATACAATTTGAACATACCGGTAATCAGTGAAGGCATGTCAGAGACATGGCTCTAGAACCGGATTCATTAAAACAAAATGGCCGCCTGTCAGCCATTTTGAATCTGATCTGAAAAACCAAATGATGTGCATGAAGAACCAATAATGCGTCCGAACAGGCACTAATAAAGGAAGACAAACAAAGACTGATGTTACATAAACTTACTGTAATTATTGTAATTGCAGTTCATTTCGTCTGAATTGTCTCTACAATCGTTGTCATAATCACATCGCCATGTTATAGGTATACAACGCTGATTATCACATGTAAATTTATCCACACCACATGTTGGATAGTCTGTAAAATAATTAGTACATTTTACTTTAAAAAAAAAATCATAAACAAAGGAAGCCTGGAAAGTATGAATTGTAAGCATGAATTATATATAGAAAACAAAGATTAATTTAATAATGATAAAAGTGCCTGTGAAATGCCCACCCACACATTTATATGTTTAGTTTCTGTTGCGCTGCAAGCAGTTTTGGGGTTTAGCCGAATAACATGTAAGAATTTCCATCGCCTGGCAACCACAATCAGAGAAGATGGTCGAAAACTCTCAATTAAATGTATAATAAAAATTGGGTGCCACAACAGTCTAGTTTATGCCTTCAGAAGCTCAGTTGAGTCAAAGCACATAATAGTATACAAGGCAGAATTAGATACGACAAAAAAAAACTGTTAACAAACAAGCTGTTCTCTGATTGGTCTGACTGTATGAGTAGGGTAGCCAATCAGGCACAGTATTGTAAGTTGCTTTGAATTGACTATACAGCCACATACAATATTATTATTTCTTTAAATAATTCAACTTTATTTAGGAATTCCATTGTGACTCTAGATCAAAACTGTCTTTTCAGATTAAAGGGCAGTGGTTTTCATGCAACACATGTTCCATGAAAACAAACAATGTATTTTACATGCATGGTGTACGTCGCTATAAGTCCCATAATCGAACGGGATGTTAAGTGATGACCCCCACCCTTTAATTGCATGGATTATACAGTTTAAACAATATGATATTGGTATGATATTGATAGACAATGATACTCACCGCATCCCTGTTCATCTGACCAGTCATAACAATCATTATCAAGATCACACTGCCATGATCCTGAAATACATCGGCCATTACCGCAGGTAAACTCATCTGGATGACATGTCTGATATGCTACAAGTACACATAAGAAATAAATTTAATACTTCGAACGCTTGAACAAACCAGCACTTCCAACACCACAATTTTTCCCGCTATATTTTTCAAATTTTTTTGTCTTTCTGAATAATTCTGGACAAAATGAACGTAATTCCTTAATTGTATAATTGTATGCATTTGTTAACTAAATGGTGACCATTGACCTTCTGACCTTCTCGCCAATTTTTTTTATTTTTTTTTGCAATTGTTTCTTATATTCCTCAATATTTCTGGAAATGAACCCTAATTTTGGAGCCAACAGACAAAATTTGAGTCAATTTTCAGTTTTTCTCAAAAAAATTGGATATTTTTGTTCCAATCTTCTAAAGGAAAGTGCAGACTATAAACAGGATTTAGCAACAATTGCGCAAGTTTTTATTGAACATTTTACAACAAACTACACCTTGTTTAAGGTAGTTTGCTACCAATAAAAAATATTTATACACAGAGACAGTTTCAGATATTGCTTTTAGTTTTCAACCAAAAGCTTTGTAAATTGTTATCAACATTTTCATGTGAAAACAAAAATATACCTACTGCAATCATTTTGAAGTTCACATTGGCACTCAAAGGGTTAAACAAAAATTAGGAATTTTCTAGTTTTCTGTAAATTAACAATAATAGAGGCAGTTTGAAATATGACATTCGCCAAATCTGACCTGACCTGACCTGGGAAAACTGCTGGCAATAAAGTTTCAAAGAATTTATTTAATTTTAATTAATAGATAAATACGCGACAATTTATTCAAACATGTGTTGTTGCTACCAGACTGCCAAGCCTATGAAGTTTACAATGGCGCTGAATGTGAGAATTGGTTAAAAAGGCTAAACGACCTGGTAGTACATGATAGATTTAATGAAAAAAAAAACACCAAAAATAGTTATTGAAAAAAAAAAAAAAAAAGCAAGACATTTCAGGTACAACCCTTCAGCACGTACTGTTTAATATAGGTCCTGTGCAACTGATACCAGGGGTTTCGTTAAAAGCTGGCCGCCGGCCATATGGCCTGCTACAACCCAAATTGTCCTACTTTCTGGTCTCCATTGCCCGCCTTCACCAGTCTCGCTGCAGCACTACGCACTGCTGAGAGCCTTTTTATTTTATTTTTTGTCTGTTGTTACAGGATGATGGCCTGCTATTAAATGCATTTGTGAAACCCCTGCTATACAACACAAGTTTCAACATATGAACATGGCAACTATCGCATGTAACCACATATACAGTAGAGATAACTTACGACAATCCTGCTCGTCTGAACTATCACCACAATCATTATCTTTATCACAATGCCAGCTTGCAGGAATACATCTTGTTGAGCCCGC